TGTGTAAAAATGTAAGGAGTAGAAGTAAAAAGTCGCCATAAAAATAAGTAGTAAAGTAAAGTAAAAATATCAGAAAAATCTACTTGAGTACAGCAACGAAGTCTTTGTACTTCGTTACTTCCCATCTCTGGCTAAACCTGAAAGTAAAGGTGTGAGACAGCGCGTGCAGAGTTAGTGGCCCAGTCAGAGTCAAGATCTAGATCCATTTGGAAATCTGTGGGAAGACTTATTTAATGATGTTTGTAGATCCATCTAATCTGGGCCTTTGCTATTTTCTAAAAAGAATGCAGAAAAAAAGCCCTAAAAACAACAAGAAAGGTTAAAAAGAGAGCTGGATCCAATGGGCTGAATCCTAATTCATAACCAGACTACTTAATGTTGGCTGATGTTAAACTAAATAATCACTCAAATATGTGATTAAAATATGACAAAATGTGAAAATGATCAAGGGGAATACATATTTTTTGCAAAGCACTTAAACTATAATTAAGATAAACTATTATAAGATTATTTTAATCATGTTTATAATTTAACTGCCTAAAAGCCTCAATCAAAAGTTCACAGTTCAACTTTGACAAATGAAAATGACTGAAACAGCTGTTTATTTTTGCTACAAAATGTTAATCACTTATAGAATGTAGTTTTATAAAACCGTTAAAATGTATAATGAAGTCTCTGGAAGAAACATGTACATATTTAATCTGTTTATAGATAAAATGATATGACTGATATTTAATTGGATGTTACAGTTAGCTTGGACTGTCATGGATTATTTTCTGCATTTTTGGGGAGTTCACTCAGCGATACATGCAGAGAAAATGTTGTGGAGTGTTTTCTGAGAATTGAGTAAAGTCTGTATTCGTTTTTTCTTAAAGTTTAAGTAACCCGCGAGCCACTATCTCATCTTTATTATTTTACTCCTGATAAATGTGAGTAGTAGCCTTAAATGTTCAGGTCAGTAACATGAAATATTTTCTGATCCCCAAATATTTCCAAAAGTTCTCTAATAATCATTTTATTCTTTGCTAAAATGATCAGAATTTTACAGATCCTTATTGGTCAAATGACAGATAAATCACCATAAAGTGTTCCTCATAAGTCTTTTTAAGGCATGTGGGCTAACGCTTTAATCAAGTTTAGAAACATTTTTAGAATTACAATTAAAAGCGTGTGAGCAAAGTGTTGCATTTGCTTCTTTGAGTTATTGAAATCAGTTATAAGCTTGAATTTGAAAAAAAGAAAGTTTTATCGGTACATCTGTTAAACTGTTTAATTGCTTGGAGCATTGTGTACAGTACAGTACAATAAGTCCAAGAAAGGCTGGACAAACACAGAGAAGATCTGCGAGCATAATCACAATAAACCTTTTTGCAGGTTTTGTGTTCTGTTTAAAAGCACTATAAGGGGGAAACTTGAATTGCACAAGAGGAAGATCTGACTTAGAGGTTCACAAGAAGAACAAAATGGCAAAAGCAAAACTTAGCTGATGTAGTGGGCTTGAATCTACCACATAGGTTGAAAATCGGGGAAAGATTGTTTGATGTACTTTAATTTCATAGACATGAAACCTGCCTTAAAAACTCTCAGACCTATATATCTAAACGTTAAGTTCATCCTGTTGTATTTTTCCAACTTGGCTATGTGATTGATTTGTAATTTTGCCTGCCTCTTACATTTTACTCATTTCATGCAAATTCATGCTTTTTTCTGAACTTGGATTATGTGAATTCCCAGTTAGAAATGCAACAAAAATGGCCCTTAGAGCCAAAAGGCAGACTTGGAAACGTGAAGATTAATTTCTACAATAATCTGGGAATTACATTATGCCAGAATTTGGAGCATTGTAGCTGCTGGTCAGAAAGCAGCCTTTAGCAGTCAGACATTTCTTTCCATTGTCTACATTAGAAAGCACAGTTTTTACAAATGGATATTTCACAGCACTGTGTTTCATTGGTTAGAATGGATTCAAACAGCCGAAAGTGCTGATAAACAGTTTAACCGGCAGCTTGTGATCCTTTCCTTTATGCACAGCAGCCATATTGGATATTATAATGGGATTTACTTGAGCAGTTTATACTTTCCTTGTTAGAATTGGACATACGAAATCGAAGCACAATAAGAGCTTACCATCAGAACAAACCCAAACCCACCTATTCCAACTACCAAAAAAAAAAAAAGGAGACTATTCTCCTTACCTCAGGAAAGTGAACCAGATTTATCGCTGCTGCAGGTTCCTTTGAAACTGCTCTTCCTGTTGTGGTCTAAAAAATAGACACTTCGTCACTGACTGGGTTTCCTGTCTTGAGGACAGAGAACCTAAGATACAACCTGAATACAAGCTAACCAAAATTGGATATGAACAGATTGAAAACAAAAAAACGTTTTAAATGGCCGAATGAGCCTCTATTTTAGTTGCAACATTCATGAGATGCTTTCTGAGATCCACCCTGCTTTGTATCAATAGGACAGACTGGTATTATGTTTTGGGGGATATTGTCTTTCAGCATTTCTGGGAACTACTGTAAGCATAATTTGTGCATATCTTAAATATTAGCCTTTTTGTTGTTCCTGACTATGTTCATTAATATATGACCACATTGTCTTAATCTTCTCAGGACTGCTTCCTGTTGATAATGTCTCAAATCACATATAATCTCAGACTGGTTTGACCTCCTCAATCACCCTAATTACAACACAGTTCCCTTTGGATCTGGTGTAACAGTAGATTTTACAGATAAAAAATCCTCAGCATCCTGTGATGCTGTCTTTGGTACCAGATTGGGTACCAAGTGAATATTGCAACCAAATCAAGCCTTATATGACCATTTTGTTATATAGTAGCAAAGTTGGTACTATATGACAACATTAAAGTAGTTTTGAAGATAATTTTGATCTTTTCTAGTACAAGCCAAGTTTACCTAACAAATTGGTTAATCATTGTGCACTCTGATTTACACTGCTCAAAAAATAAAGGGAACACGTAAACAAGACAATAAAGTTTTAATCTATTTGAACGTTACACTTAGGAATCAACACAACAATCAGGTAGTGCAGCTCATTCAGGATGACACATCAATGTGAGCTGTGGCAAGAAGGTTTGCTGTGTCTGTCAGCATAGTGTCCAGAGTACATCAGTAGACATGAAGGAGGCTGTCGGAAGGGTAACAACCCAGCAGCAGTGGAGCTATCTCTGCCTTTGTGCAAGGAGGAACAGGAAGAGCACTGCCAGACCCCTGCAAAATGACGTCCAGCAGGCCACACATCTGCATGTGTCTGCACATATGGTTAGAAACCAACTCCATGAGGATGGTATGAGGGCCTTGGCATTTGCCAGAGAACACCAGGATTGGCAAATTCACTACTTTCGCCCTGTGCTCTTCACAGATGAAAGCAGGTGCAAACTGAGTACTTATGACAGAGTCTGGAAACACTGTGGAGAGCAATCCGCTGCCTGAAACATCATTCAGCATGACCAGTTTGGCAGTGGGTTAGTAATGGGGTGGGGTGGCATTTTTTCGAAGGGCAGCACAGCCCTCCTTGTGCTTGCCAGAGGTAGCATGACTTCCATTAGGTACTGAGAGGAGATCCTCAGACCCCTTATGAGGCCACATGCTGGTGCGGTTGGCCCTGGGTTCCTCCTAATGCAGGACAATGCTGTACCTCTTGTGGCTGTAGTGCAGTGGTCTCCAACCCTGGTCCTCAAGATCTACTGTCCTACAGATTTTAGATGCATCCCTGCTTCAACTCAGCTGAATGAAATGATTGATTACTTTTTCAAGCCATTCAATTGATTCAGCTGTGTTGAAGCAGGGATGCATCTAAAATCTGTAGGACAGTAGATCTTGAGGACCAGGGTTGGAGACCACTGCTGTAGTGTGTCAGCAGTTACTGCAAGGTGAAGGCATTGAAGCTGTGGACTGGCCCACTGCCCCTCAGACCTAAATCTGATTTAGCACATCCATCCATCCATCCATTTATCTATCCACCAATGTCACGTTGCACAACAGACTGTCCAGGAGTTGGTGGATGCTTCAGTCCAGGTCTGTGAGGAGATCCTTCAGGAGACCATCCACCACCTCACCAGGAGCATGCCCAGGTGTTGTAGGGAGGTCATACACAATACTGAGCCTCATTTTGACCTGTTTTAAGGACGTTACATCAAAGTTGGATCAGACTATAGTGTGTTTTTCCACTTTAATTTTGTGTCTGACTTCTAATCCAGGCCTCCATTAATTAATAAATGTGATTTCCATTGATGACTTTTGTGTATATTTTATTGTCAGCAAATTCAACTTTGTACAGAACAAGGTGTTAAATGAGAATATTTCATTCATTGAGATCTAGGATGAGTTATCTTAGTGTTCCTTTTTATTTTTTTGAGCAATGTAATTTGAACAAACACTGCAATAACTAGCGTTCTATTTTTATTTTTTATTTTTTTATGTAACATTTAATAAGTTTGATTGTAAAAAAAATTTAAAGTGATTGTAGATTTAAGCCAACATTGTTAAATTCCTTTAGAAGCTACAGTCGTGCCGAAGCAGCTCTTGCTTTGCACGAGTGGCTATCTGAACTGGAAAAATAATATTGACAGCTTCAGATAACAAAAAAGAAAAAAAACAAAACC